TTTTTTTTTTGTATTTCTGACTTCCGTACTTTAGAAACCGTTCAGCTATTTGGGAAAAAAGAGTTCTTTATCTGAAACATTGTTTGAAAATGCAGACTACTGCAACTTTAATGTAGTTGCTGTAGCTTCAGTGTAGCTGTGACAGTTTGCTAAATAATCGCATCTTCAACTCAGTAGTTGTGCAACATTGGGAAATTTGCCGCAACACCAATAACATACGATTGTCTGGCCTTAGTTCATCATTTGTTTTCCTAGCAGCCTTGCTGTCTTTTCTCTGGACGAGGAATACTAAGTTGCCTACTGGAGGCTGTTTATCACAGCCATGTTCGGCTATAATCATAGCCAGCGACATGAGTGATGAGCTAAGCCTTGAGGAACTAAGAGTTGAGAGTGCAAGTTGCAGGGCAAACTATTTCTTGTTGAAACAACCCAATGATTTATTATTTCAGCCCACTCAGCTAAGGAATTCCGACGACAGTACAATGTTTTGGAAGAAATTGGCCGTGGTGGTTTTGGTATAGTTTATCGAGCCACACGAATAGCTGACAATCTGCCAGTAGCAGTGAAATTTGTTGAGCACAAGCATGTTAGAGAGTGGACTATGGTTGGCATTAATCGATCTGCATTGACTGATGTTGACACGAGTACTTAATTCCAGACATGTAATCAACTAATACCATCTGAAGTTTGCCATCTGGAAACATGCAAAGATGTTCCAGGTGTTATCCGATTAATCGATTGGTTTGCAAAGTAAACGTTTTTTCTTTGTCCCCTCTACTTAGCAAATTAAAATATCGATTGTGTTTGCAGCTCAAAGGGCTTCCTTATTGTTATGGAACGGCCGGAAAATTGTATGGACATTTTTGATTTAATCTCAACCTACGGCCGACTTGATGAGGGTGAGAATTTTGTTAAACCGCAAAATTTACTTAACTGCAAGGATTTTTAGACACTGCACGTGCAATTTTCATTCAAGTCGTGGATTCGGTGTGCACGATGTACGCTAAGCATGGTCTCATTCATAGGGATATCAAGGTAATCATGGGTTTTGCTGCATAATTTGCCGTTAGTTTAAATCATTCATT